CTTTTTCTTTCATCTCCCTCTCGGTCTTCCTCCCTCCATCCCATTCCTTTCATCTCCCTATTGTTCTCCTTGGTCTTTCCCTCCCCTCTTCTCCCTCAATCGATCCCTTCTCTAGTCTCCCCCTCCTTTCTTCTCCCCTCATTCTGCGTACTCTTCCTCATTTTGATACTTTCTGATGATGGCGGCTGGGATAGTGAATTGTGAATAGTTTTCTCTACGATGAATAATCGATTTTTGCAGATTTCGACTGAATCCTCTTTTGTTTGACTGCCTTCCTTCTCTCGTCTCAACCCGATGATCCAACCCGACCCAACCCGAAAATATAAGGGTTGGGTTGGGTTGGGTTGACCTTGTTCGGTTCCATCGGTTCTCTATTCTACCCAACCCGAAAATTCGGGTTGGTCCAAAAAACTCCCCTAACCCGACCCAACCCAACCCGTGAACACCCCTAGTTGTTTCCCTTGTTTTGGTTTGACCGTTCTTTTTTTGGGCCTCGCTTGGTATTTTGTTTGATTATCTTGAAAGTTGGTTCTCAATTAAAGAGAGGGAGAGAGACAAAAATATTGGAATTGTCATTACTGTTTTGAAATGCACTGCAAGATTCAGTTAAGTTTACAAGTCACATTCCAGCTCTATTAACAAAATCCTGGATCGCTTCCTTCTCTCGGACTCCATCATGAACAAATTTGCTCCTGTATCGGCGAAAAGGCTAGAATGAACTACTTCTGATCATTACCCCAGATGCTGACTTTAGGAAAGCAAAAATGGGGCCCGTTCCCTTCAAATTTGAAAACATGTGGTTGCAGCATCCATCTTTCCTTCCCTTTTTGGATAATTGGTGGAAAAACAACCCTCTGCAAGGATGGACTGGTCATGGTTTCATCCAGAAGCTAAAAGGCTTGAAGGGAGTGTTAAAATCATGGAACATTGACACTTTTGGATGCATCAAATATTTGAAAGTTACTGATTCAAGATTAAAATCGAACTTATGAATTTTGCAGCAAAGGAGGTGACAAAAGTGCAATGCTAAATGGTAGTTAGAGGGAGGTGAAAACACTCGGTTTTTTCACTATTACATGGCTGCAAAGAGAAGAAAGAATACTATAACAGAAATTCTCTCTAGTCAAGACATCAGCCTTCTTTGAGAAGATGTCATTGAGGCAGAATTCATCTCCTACAAAAATCTCTTCACCAGAAAATCTAGTAACGGGTGCATTCCTCCTTAACTGGGATCCAATTTCTCTCTCACAAAACCTTGCCCTTAGTCCCCTTTTACAGAAGATGAAGTTTGGCAAGCCATTCAAACTTTGGGCACAAACAAATCCCCCGGGCTGGATGGCTCCACAGCTGAGTTTTTCAAAAAGTCATGGAACATCATCAAGCTTGATATTATGAAGGTGTTCCAGGATTTTTTTCAGAATGCTACTATCAATGCAAGCTTGAACGAGTCCTATATCGGCCTGATTCCTAAGAAAATAGATTCTAGAAGAGTTGGAGATTACAAACTCATCAGCCTCACCCCTTGCCTTTACAAAGTTGTGGCTAGAGTTTTATCTTAAAGACTCAAAAGTTCTCCCCTTCACCTTTTCAGAATTCCAATCAGCATCTGTAGCTGGGAGATGAATCTTAGATGCATCCCTCGTAGCAAATGAAATCATTGACGAATGGTTCAGGAAAAACAAGCAAGGGCTGGTCATTAAGCTTGATGTGGAAAAGGCATTCGACATAAGTAGATTGGGACTTTCTGGAGATGATTTTGAAAGCCAAAAGTTTTGGAGATCGGTGGAGAAGATGTATCAGAGGCTGTATATCGTCGACAAATTTTTCCATCATCATTAATGGTAAGTCTCGTGGAAAATTTCGGGCTTCCAGAGGTCTTAGGCAGGGAGACTCACTTTCTCCCCTTTCTCTTTATTTTGGTTGTAGATTGCCTAAGCAGGATTTTATTGGCTGCTGAATCAAAAAATTTCACTAGAGGTTTTTAAGTGGGCAGGGATAACTTACAAATTAACCATCTCCAATTCGCCGACAACACAATTTCATTCTCTTCACAAAAAGAAATGATATTCTGAATCTCTTATCTGTCATCAAACAATTTGAGGAAGCATCTTAAATGTGAATCATCAAAAATCAGAATTTTTGGGGATAAATTGTGAAGAAGATTATGTTTCCCACCTTGCTAATCTGCTGTATGTAAGGTCAGCACTTGGCCAAGCTCATACTTGGGCCTTCCACCTTCGTGGTAAGCCAAAATCATTGACCTTTTGGGAACCCATCATTCAAAAAGTGGAGAGGAGACTAATGAATTGGAGTCACACTCATGTCTCCAAAGGTGGTAGGCTCTCTCTCATACGAGCTGCCCTCTCCAACCTCCCTATATATTTTCTCTCCCTGTGCCTACTACCCTCTGAAGCTGCAAATTCTCTAAAAAGCATGTTCAAAAAATTATTATGGGCTGGTAACAAGGAGAAAGACAATATCCATCTATTATATGGGACAAAGTGAACTTCCTCTACAAGAAGGTGGTCTTGGCATCTAGATTTGAAATATAAAAATAGGGCTATTTCTTGCTGAGTGAGTTTGGGGATTTCACTAAGAAAGAGTGCCCTTTGGAGGACTGTTATCCTAGCAAAATATGGAGCTAAACATTTTGATCTAAAGCCGGATGACAAGTCTCTACAAGCCTCCAAAGGGCCCTGGAAATTAATCTTTAAACAAAGCAGCCTAGTTCACTCAAACATTCAATGCAAAATTGGAAATGGTCAAGGACCACTGGATTGGAAATGGCCCCCTGATGAATGACTTTCCTCTTTTATTCCATCTATCAAGAAGGCGTCTGTTGCTGATTTGTGGGATGGAACAAATAAGGCTTGGAATATGCATTTCAGAAGGCATCTCAAAGAAGAAGAAATCCTGGAATGGGCTTGGGCCTCCTTATCTGCATTATTAACATCTCTTTTCACCAACAGAGAAGATGTTTGGGTATGGTCTCTAGAGAAGGATGGTCTTTTTTCAGTCAAATCACTGACAACCTAGAAATCTGACTTTGAACAACCCATCTGCAATCATCTTCAAGGCCATTTGGAAATCCTCCTATCTGAAGAAGGTAAAGTTCCTAATCTGGGAGCTCACTCACTTGTGTCTCAACACCTTCAATAAGCTACAAAAGAGATGCCCTAAATGGTCCGTTTCTCCATATTGGTGCTGCCTTTGTAAGGCTAACTTTGAATCACAGAGCCACATCTTTTTGTACTCCATTCTCCTCCTGAATTTGGATCTATTTTATATCTATTTTTGGATGGAAGTTATGCCTTCCTAACAACCCTCGAGATTGGCTTGAAACTACTCTTATTCAGCATCCGTTTAAGCTTGAAAAGGCTACTCTTTGGATGAATATAAACAGAGCCTTCATTTGGATCATATGGAAAGAAAGGAACTCCAGAATTTTCAACAAAAAAGAGCACACAGATCAACAACCGATTGACACTATAATTGGATAGGGTTTATCCTTTTGTAAATGAAAAATACCTCCTTATTAGTAAGGAGCAACTTCCTCCTCACAACCATTAAATATCTAACAAACAAGAGAGAGAAATGTAAAAATAAATTTTTTATTTTTTATTAAATAATGAGTTGTAAAATAATTAATGGTGGTAAGAAGGAAGTTGCTCCTTACTAGTAAGGATCCAAGTATTTTCCTTTGTAACTGTTGCGAGGTTGTTTCCCTTGTTTTGGTTTGACTCTTCTTTTTGTGGGCCTCACCTGGTATTTTGTTTTATTATCTTGAAAGTTGGTTTTCAATTGAAAAAAAAAACAAGAAATTATTGGAATTGTCATTACTGTTTTGAAATGGTCCAACTCTGTTAAGTTGAACTAACTATAATATATAGCTGAATCAAACGAGTTGCTAGAGAATGGCAGTTTATAAAATTTAAGAATGACAGTTTATTTCATTGGACGTCCATGCAAATAAAATGAACACAACTTGGTTTATATGCTTAATAGCGATAAGCCCTTGAAGCCTTAAATTCCCAAGGTATATTAATCAGAACGTGATAAATATTAGCAAGGTTTCATTACTCTACATTGTGAATTGTTAATTATTAGAAAAACCTAGTTCCAAGTCTAGCAGTGATGTGTTTTTGTCCAACATGCAATTATAAGTACATGGAAACATGCGTACATGACCCAGAAGCTTATGCTGGAATCAGTTGGTTGTCTTAAGGATGGATTATTACCATTTTTTGGTGTGTAATTTTGTGAGACCTCGTATAGTAAATATGTACGCAATGAGGGGTAAAGATGGGAATTCACCTCCTAAGTTAGTTAGGGGTCCTTCTATACTTTTCAGAATCCGTTGGATGTTTATGATTAGTTTATTTTGGTAAAAGGTAAGCTAGGAGAGGGTCGGCACTCTCTAAAGGGCTGGAGGTTCTTTTGTATTGCCTTAAGGCTTGTTCTTGCTTGTCATTTCTGCTTGAATATCAATATTTTGGTAAGGAAAGCTTACAAATTTCTTCCACTTCCAAGTCCTGAACCACTTGTGGACAGTGCTGAAAATATGTAAAATCCTTGTCACATGCTTCTATCATCCTTGTGATTGTCTGGTGAGGGTGCTGGACATGATGCATGATAACTTATTATTTTCTTTCGAATGGTTTTTCAGATGGGAGGGCTGCATGATTCTCTGGAGAGTAGAATTTCCGCACTGGAAAAGCTGAACCAGAATGATGGTTCCCAACATGTTCATACAGCGGAGTAGATGCTGGAGGCCGAGGCCACTACAGTCTAGAAGGTCTCACTGGAAATATACAAAAGTTATGAAGAGTAATAACAGTAGAAAAACTGGTTTGCCTTTTACGCTGGTGTCAAGTTTTGCTGATTTTTGTTGTTATCAGATTTATGTTTGTATGGGGCTGGTAGCTGTGTTGTAATGAATGCTACCATGCTCGTAGAAACTTCTCTAAAGTTTATCAGGTTGAATGAACCTATCCCTTGGGAGCACGGGGTCTTCATTCTTTTATTCAGTTTCATTTTGCTAGTGTTGGAGCATCCTGTAAGACTTGATCCGAATGAGTTTGACGACAAATCGGAATGAAGGAGAATAAAGTTTTTAAAGTTTAAATGTAGTATTGACATCTGAACTACCCATTTTCATTTTCTTCCAAAACTTGAATTCTAGTTTCTATGTTTGTATCCATTTCTCACTTTTTAGTCGTTAAAATTGTGAACTCTCAATTTTAGTCCCTTTTGTTTTCCAGTTAATATCAATAGTCACCTGTGGTGTGAAATATCAATTCAAATATACGGTAATGTATTGCTTAATGTTAGTTTAACCTCTGAATTTGCTCTAAAAACCCAAATTGAAAAAGATAGTTAGCAAAGTGAAACAACTTTGCAAATATACACATCAATGGGATGCTAGAATTGTAGTATGTGCCAAATTACTCGACTCCTTCAGGAATTGCTGCTAGTGCTGGCTTCCAGGGAGATGAAGATTCGAGATCAGCGCAGAACCGGGTTTTAAGAAGCTGCTGCTGCGAAATTAGTTCTTCCATGGATACTTGTTTGGCGAGTAAGTGTTGGAGCTGTTTCTTTGTTAGAACGATTGTGACCCTCCTTGTACTTGTACTGGTGCTTTTCTCAGGATCTTCCATCAAAGAATCAGGTGCTAGAGAAGGCAAAACCACTCTGGCTCTGCCAAAGATACAACAATGGTTTCCCATTTTAGTTCCTTCCTTGAGCTGGAGAACCAATACAAATTGTTACAAGGGAGAGAACTATAAAGGAAAGGTGAAAGAATTGGTCAACAAGCGTGCAGCGAGAGAGAGAAAAAGCATAGTGGAATTGGAGGCGGCTCTTCTTTAACCACTTCTTCCAAGCAACACCACCAACACCAACAGAGGCATTTTGTGGCTCTTCTTATTAGGTACTGAATGAAGCTCCCTTCCCTTCAATTTGCTGATGTTGAATCATTAATTAATTGTCGACAAAGTTTGGTTTGTGGAGTGGAATATTTGTTCTGCTAACCCACTCAATGAAATACCCAAAATTGATTGGTTGGGTTTGCTTGTCTTGTCTTGTTTTGTTTTGTTGGATGATGGGAAGGCCGACGTCAATTTGGCATATGATATTATGTGGTTTACATAAATTAAATTTTTCACAATATTCAAATGATTTTATACCACCAATCTAGAACATGAGGTATGGTACGATGAGCTAGGTTCGCTTTGGCCTATTTTTAAAAAGCAAAAACTATATATATTTGATAACTATTTTTTATTTTTTATTTTTAAAAGATAGAAAACCAAACATGCCTAGGTTTTATGTTTTTATGTAAAGTAGAAATGACAATATTGTGGGTGCTAGTGAGGATGCTCTTCTCAATTCTCGTGCTTGTGAAAATTTTTAATTCTCGTCTCCACCTCGTTCTTCTAGAGATGTTCTTGATAAAAATTATTGGTTTTATAATTGTTTTTAATTATTTTTAGAATTCAAAAAATAAAAAAAATGCAATAAATATATATTAATTATTTAAAAAAAGGAATGGGGTGAGATCGGGACATGCATTTCCTTTTCTTTGACTCTAGACATTTTTGTCATTAGATACATGAAAATGCAAGTTTAGAGAGATGTAAATAAATTTTTTAAAGATAAATTTTAGAGAGATAAATAAAAAAATTTAGAAAGAAAAATTAAAGAGAAAATTTTAGAGTAAAAAGTAAAGTCGATACGAAAAAATATGTTAGAGAAAAAAATTAGAAATAAAGAGAAAAATTATAGTGGAAAAAAAATTTAGAGATAAAAACAATATTCAAAATATAATTCTAGAGAAAATAAATAAATAAATAGATAAATAAAAAGTTATAATGAAAGAAAATTGAACGATAAAATAAAATAGAATTTTTAAAGGAAAAAATAAATTAGGAAGATAAATAAAAGTTATAAAATACGAAATTTTAGAAAGAAAAAGTTGGAAAAAATATTAAATTTTTAGAAAGAGGAATGAGACTGATCTGTTATAAAAAAAATGAAAATACATTGAAATGAAAATTTTGGATAAAGAGAGATAAATAATAATAAATATTCAAAATATAAAATTTTTAGAGAAAGAATAATAAATTTTGTAGAGAGAATTTAGAAAGAAAAAAATATAAATTTTTTAGAAATAAATATGAGAATGGAAAAAAAAAGTTGAATATTAAAATAAAAAACCAGATTTTGAAAAGCATAAATCAGTTTTTGAAACCTACTTTTTTTCTTTAATTTACTTAGAATTACAAAATAGTTTTAAAAATAATAGAAAATTGATTTAGTTATCGAACAATACTATTTTAAAAAAATTAAAAACAAAATGTTATCAAAATTTTAGTGCAAATGCAAAGTAAGAAGTAATTGTTGCTTTGTTTTGTTTTGCAAGGGAAGGGCCAAGAGGAGAGTTAGCTTTATCATGTTTTGACTTGGCATGGGATGTGTTTGCCTCTTGCAGAATGGGTTTAGGGGTCAAGGACTTTATCTCATGAAATGTTGTAGTTGTTATGAAGTTTTTCTAGAACTTGGATTGCTATAGCAAGTTTTTTTTGGTGCTTATATGAGTGGGGGCTTATGTTTTATGTGATTGTTGCGTTTAAAAAATTCAACCTTCCTCTTAGTCCTCCTGGTGTTATAAGACTATCATACGTTTTCTCAATTGATTTCATTCTTTTACGAGACATGTTACTGGAGATGATCAATAAGATTTTGTGTGGTTGGATTCATCAGAAGCTAGTTGGTTACCTATTTATGTTCATTATTTTGTAATACAATATTATTCACTTTGAGCATAAATCATATGTTTTAGAGTCGCATGCTAATGGAGGTGTAATTACAGTCGCATAAGTCATTGTTCCATTTGGTGTATTCTTTGTGAGTGGGATTCTGAGGACCTTGATCACATTTTATGGCAGTGCCAATTTGCCCAGAACATTTGGGGTCGATTATTTGAGTTGTTTGAAATTTCTTGGACTCGTGTCATAGAGAGTGGGGGGTTCATGGTAGAGGAAGTACTTTTGTGTTCTCATTTCCGTGAGAATGGGAGATTTCTTTGGCAGGCGGGATTTTTTGGGATTATGTGGGGGATTCGGTTGGAAAGAAACAATAGATTATTTAGGGGGTGGAAAGAGAGTGGGAGTCTGTGTGAGAACTCACAAGGTTTAATGTTTGTTTATGGGGTCCGAAGTTATTTTGTAATTATCACGTAGATCATATTCTTATGAATTGGAAACCATTTCTTAAAAAAAATGGAGGTATAATTTTCGTTTATATGCCCATGACCTAGCAAATTTGTAACTTTAGTCGCACACCCAATTCAGAAATCCTTATTAAAACGACTCCCTCTCCGTAAAAGATTTAAAAATGGTTATTAAATGAGATATTAAAATGTAAAAATATGTTCTAAAAATGTGCACACAAACTTTGTAATATAATTGTTTTTTGAGTTCAAACTTCAAAAATAGACACAAATAAATTAAACTGGGGGCGGCGTCATGTCATCGTGATATTTGGAAAATCCGTCGCCCGTGGTTGTGTTGTGCTGTGGTATATTATCCTCTATTACGAAACGACCTAACCCTAAACCCTTCGTTTTCCCGTCTGGTCGCAGCTGAAGGAGGAGGATCCGGAACACAGTACCCAAGCACCAGCTCTTTCACTGCTCTCGCTATCGCTCATCACTTCCTCGCTGCAGTCTACTTCATCACTCTCCCAACTTTTGGTACGTTCCTCTCAACACTCGTTGTTGCTATCTGAGCAGCGAATAATCATTCTACGCTCATTTGGGTGCTTACAAATTTGATTGCTCAGACATGAGTGTTTTATGGTATGGGTGATGGATAAGATGGTAGCATACTTGGATTTACATTTTGTTTAGTTACCACACTCGATATTTAGACTAAGATGCGGTATTTAGTTAATTCGGTTGGATTTGGATTTTTTTTTTTTGAATTGGATATTATATGCTCGATTTTTGTTTTCTGGTGCGTTTTGTTGGTGTGTTAAATCAAGAACACCTCGATCTGAAGCAGTTTTGTAATTTGAAATTAATTTCCCTGTTTGTTGTGGAAAACCTCGGAAAATAGTCTTTCATACATTGAAGCAGCTGATTAGTTGGTTGAATTTTATTTCTGCCTTCCGATCCTCCTAGTTTACTTCCATTGGACACTTGTCGTTGAAATCAATACTACACCGCAGTGGCTGGTGTAATCTACCCAGAAAAGCTGCTTTTCTTTGGGATATGGCCTTGCTTAGATCTTTAAAACTGAGAAAATAGTCTGCTGGGTTAGCACCTTCTTTATGGTTCATATTTGTCTCTCTCATTTCTGCATGTATGCCGATTCAAGGTGGAATACATTTATCAATTACAGCATTTATCAAACTTCTCGTCCCCCTCTCCCCTCCCCCAACAATCCTTTTATTATGTTTTCTTCTATTTTTCTACTTGGTCGTGAAAGCTAGCCCTTGAAGCTATTAACAACTTCGGACCAAAGTTTGAGGTTTTTTTAAGACGCTTCTGTGCGTCCCCTATACTGAATTGGTGCTTCACTTTTCCTCAATTTCTGTACTGTTACTTGGGATTTACGGAAATCAATGTGTAATCAGGAATCCAGCTTGTTGATTTTTGTTAATTGATTGTACATTATTGTTTTTTCCGTTTCATTTTCCTTTATATAGCGTTGTTACTGACCTCAGTTAATGTAACTGGGCCAAGAGTATTAGCTATTTGTAATAAAATTCTTATATTTTATACGGCATATCCTTAAATTTGTTGATAAGAAAGGCAGAAAACATTTGCACCATTCCTGTTTGGAAATGGATGCAACATAATTGAGGGTTTCACCGATCATCTAAAGTTAATCAACGGAGGGCATCCTACATATTTTTTCAGGATTGTTTTCTCAATTCTGTTAAAGAGAGCTGAGTAAGGTAAAATTGAACATGTATGTCACTCTTACCTCATCTCATGACACAGATGCTTTCTTTATGATAGATGACAAGCGCTCGGACAAATATGAGCATTGCAATCATACGTAGGGATATAGAGAGGGAATGGGAGAATCATTGTGGAGTTATGGGTATTATTTTTTTAAATGGAGATTCTTGCTCACTCTCAGAAGAGCTATGCACTGCTAAAATTCTGGAGAGGATGAGGAGATACAAAATTTATTTCAATATTAGATTACCTTTGGAGCTTCTTGGAGCAAATGAGCAATGGAGTTGTGGAGCAGGGCTCACATCGAGGATTGCTCTCTTGGTTTGCTTCATTGTTTTTGGTTCTGCTTTATTTTGGGAGTAAAGTTGTTGGTGCTGATGGCAATTGGATATGGTGGTAGATGGTGTTTCTTTCCTTTTGATGATTAGTTGTTAAGATGTATGATGTTATGACATAACATATGCAGGGATAACCGTTGCTTAGAGTAATTTGTTGCCTCAAAGATGAGTAGTCGTTTTTCTCGCACAATATATGTTGGAAACTTGCCCTCAGACATTAAAGAATATGAAATCGAAGATTTGTTCTACAAGGTATATGTTTTTTTCTTTAGCTGTTTCTTGTCATGTGGTGTCTGTGCAAAAACTTGTTATTTTCTCTTTTCATATTTTATAATTTTAATACTATTCTCAATTATTTTAAGTTTTTTAGGGAGGCACCTATGATGGTGATTTACAGAGTCATTCAAATCTGTTTTAAATTTTTATTTTGAACAGAAAATTTACATGTATTTTATGGTTCCTGTATGTTTAAGGTTAATTTTTTTTAACTTATAATTTTTACATGATTAATATTTCCTTTGGCAGTATGGTCGGATTCTGGATATTGAATTGAAGATTCCACCCCGTCCTCCATGTTATTGTTTTGTGGAGGTATTGCTACTGATTTTTAGTTTTTATTTACTTTTGGCTGCATTTGCAAAATTGTCTTTTATGACATTATGTGCTTTCGGTTGGTAGTTTGAGAGTGTTAGGGACGCCGAGGATGCAATCCGAGCTCGTGATGGATATAATTTTGATGGTTGCCGGTTAAGGGTAAAAACTAAATCTTCTCTTTCCTTCATTTCCTGATTCCTATTTCTTTTCTTGATTTTTTCAGTTTTCTTATTAGGTTGAGCTTGCACATGGTGGTAGAGGTCCGTCATCAAGTGATCGTCGTAGTAGCTATGGCGGTGGCGGCGGCGGTGGCGGTGGAGGAGGAGGAGGAGGAGGAGGAGGAGGAGGAGGACGTTTTGGTGTCTCAAAACGATCAGAATATCGAGGTGCAGGAATATATATGATGCTGCTATTTAAGGGAGCATTCTGCCAACAAAATTGCCTATGTGAAATATTGCATTTGGTTCATATTATTTTCAATGTTCTAAAAAATTTTTTATTTCCATCACAGTTATTGTACGCGGACTCCCATCTTCTGCTTCTTGGCAGGATTTGAAGGTGTTCGTCTTTATTGTTCAACCAAAGATTGATGTTTCCTTCTACGGGATCATGTTAATGAACTTTACTGATATAATGCTTTCAGGATCATATGCGCAAGGCTGGTGATGTGTGTTTTGCTGAAGTTTCTCGTGACAATGAAGGTTTAATTACATACGTCTTTCACCCTGTACTGAGAATTGCTAATTTCTTTTTTATCATGTGCAAAACAGTTTCTACGGATGAATGATTTCTCAAGCCCATGTTGCTCATTTGTTTTGTTTTACAAATTCAACTCTAGTGGATATTTCTGATCATGTTCCTAGAGTAATTATAACACACATGATGAGGAAGTATGTAAGATTTGCATCATTTATAGTTCTTACTGCTAAATATTTAATTTATGCATAAGTTCCTCTGGTGACCTTAGAGCATAACGTGTTAGATGGGCGTATTTTATATTTGAAAAGTGGTCTGCTTTCTATTTAAGGTCTGCGTGCTGTGTTTATAAGAATTGGGTATGCCACTCTAGAGGAATGCAAGTTAAGCTGTAAGTTTAAATTTTCTCTAAAGTTCTCCATGATTTACAATCTTGATGGATTTTGTTTTGGCTCTTCTTGGAATTCGGGGTTCTGATCTGGTTGTTTTTGAGGCCCAATTTCGTCATTTGGCACACAATGTGATATGCGGATTTGGATACTTCCCTTTGTCATTGTGTCACATGAGCTAAGAATGCCATGTAGCTTAGATTTCCGATATAGCAATTGGTAGTTCTAGGTGGTTACCCTTCCAAGATCTGGCCTGGGCCTGGAATAGCTGATGTGTGTAATTTTACTTGACTCTATAGTATGGCATGAGATAGAATATTGAGCATTTTGTAGGAAGTCTTTAATATATCTTTCAGAGAATACATTGTCTTCAGCTGGTTGATAATCAACAGAAAAAAAAAGTGGTGATATGTCTAGCTAATTCTGGGGAGGAGGTCGTAGGGTAACTTATTGTTATTGATGATTCATTCCCAGTTCTCAATCCAACATGAATTGCCATAACATGAGATATGACCACATACTGGTGATGTGTGTACTTTTACTCGTCTTTCTTTTATAGCATGGGATAGAATATCGAGTATTCTGTATGGAGGGGTTTGGCTGGTAATGAATCTTCAATCTATCTTTTAGAGAATATATTGTCTTCAGCTAGTTGATAATCAACAGAAAAACTATGTGGTGATATGTCTAGCTAATTTTGGGGAGAAGAGGTCTTAGGGTAACTTCTTGTTATTGATTATTCATTCCCAGTTCTCAGTCCAACATGAATTGCCATAATTCTTGCAACTTTCGATCATCTTCATTTGATTTTTGCTGTATGGATAGTATTTTGTTGGTAACAAGTTATTCTGCTACTTAGTTGAAGAGACATATTTTCATCAATCTATACTCGAGGGTTGTATTTTGGATGAATTTTATTTTTATAATTGTGGCTTGCGACATACTGCAGAATGCAGAGGATCATTCGCACTGTAACTACTTCAAGTTACCTTTACTTTTTGTTGTGCTACTTAGTTGGAGGCACAGATTTTCCATCAATTTATACTCTACGGTTGTATTTTGAATAAATTTTATTTTTCTAATTTTGGCATGCGACATACCACAGAATGCGTATCATTTGCACTATAACTACTTCAACTTAACCTTTTTTTTTTCTCTCTTTACAAGTGCCAACAAATTTCAGAACCTGAATTTACTTCAAATTGATTTGATAGTTAGATAAATATTTACTATTTTAACTCAACATGTTCAGGGACGTTTGGGATTGTTGATTATACTAACTATGATGACATGAAATATGCTGTAAGTTTCTCTAAGAGTACGTTTCATCAGAAGTCTTGTATTATTTCAATTTGACAACTAATATTTTTTATGTAATTTAGATTCGAAAACTTGATGATACTGAATTCAAAAATCCTTGGGCAAGAGCATACATTCGGGTACCTTAACCTCTATTCTCTATTCTCTTTTCTAGTTTTTTTACGTGATAATTTCGTGGTAACATTTGGTTGCAGGTGAAGAAGTATGATGGAAGTCCCACTAGGAGCCGGAGCAGGAGCAGGAGCAGGAGCAGGAGCAGAAGTCGTAGTCAAAGCCGAAGCCGAAGTGCTAGACGAAATAGGAGGTACCAACTTTTCTGTTTTACTATTATCCCTGTCATGGCCTCTTATTATGTGTCGTAATGTTTTGTTGTACCATGCAGCAAATCAGTAGAGCGATCTGTTTCTAGATCAGTTTCAAGGTCAAGATCTCCATCCCCCGTTAAATCTTCTAGGTATTTATGGCTTTTTAGCCACTTTTTTTTTCCTTCTCTCTCTCTTCTCTCTCATTTTGTTTCTTAGTTTGGTTTTTCTTGAAAGATAATGTTGATGAACCTTTTTTATCCTTTTTTTGGCAAAATATGCAGACCACGTTCAAAATCAAGGTCTGGATCACCACGTGAGGTATGAAACTTCCTGTTTTAATGCTTCAGAAACTGCCGACTTCGTACGAATCCATTTTTGCTCATGGTACTAGCTATCTATTGGATGTTCTGCTTCAATTGGTAGTGGTATAAAAAAATTGTGTGAAGGTGTAGAATGAGTGTGTTTGTTTTATTTGTGAAGGGAGTGGGCATGATTATCTTCTGGTTACTTTTAGTTTGTTAATCGGTGGCATGGGTATCACGTTGTCTTTGGAATGATAGGATGAATGAATCTTGAGGTTATAACCTTGATATCTAAGAAGCACGTGACATGACACGAAGATTGATATGTCATCTTTTATAAATTTAGGAGAGACATGGCAATGATGCATTTATTAGTACGTACATGGAAATTTAAAGCCGGTTAACTTGTGCATTTATTAGGCAATGCCTAAACAAACATGTTTGATGTGTTTCTAAACTTTTTTTTTTTTTTTTTTTTTTGCTTAATAAGTATTTGATCTACGTGCTCAACAGGTGTTAGTCTTGTATTTAGTTTGTCCAACTAGTTTCTAATACGAGTCCGTGTTGGGAAACTTTCTTGTAGTACGGTAGTGTGGAAAATTTTCCATACTATCGTTTATTGTTTGCCAAATCAGCACTATTGAAGATGATATAGGGTCACTTCACTATTCAAGTGTCCAATAAGTGCTGGACACTGATACGATATTCAAACTAAAGTGTTCACAGGGTTAACTTAAGTTTCTGGTCACTTCACTAGATGTTTGCCTGTAGTGAGGAGCAATAGAAATACATGGCAAGTTATCTTGTGGAGTAATAAAATTTTTTTAATGTTACCTATCAGATTCCAATGTCATTTAAAGCTCATATTTTATTTTTTAACGAATAATTTTGTAAAGTTAAATTTCTATCATTTGTCTGCTGCAAGGAGCTTTAAATTAAAGAATAGGAAGGGTGATGAAAATAGGAATTAAATTGTTACTAGGGAGTCAAAAGTATAATTTACCTAGTAGTAAATAATTAAAAAAAAAAGATTTGACGAGGGCATATAATGAAGTGCTAACAGAGGCTGAAATCTCTTTTCAGGGGCGGGAAGGTAGCGAATGACGAGCAGCTATGACTGTATGAAATGGTGGTTATAATACTGAGGATTTATGCTGTATTGCTTGGCTTTTATTTAAGCTTAGGACTTATGCTGACTGGTTATGAGGAGTTGAGTTAGCTGGATAATGTCATGAGATGTATGAATATCTTTAAAACCTGTTGCCGTTCCATCATTTCTACTTGTGGAGATTTTTGGGTATTTGAATGTCTTAAGTTACTTCCACATTGTGATTTCCTATTAACTGTTGAGGATTTTCTAACTGCAAAACTGATTTGGGTTAAAATAAATTGCTCTGCTCATTAAATTTAGCAATTATTAGTTCTAACTAAAAAAAAAAGTGAGTTCTGTTTTTTTCACAGGCAATCAATGGTGGGGAGATTTTTGTACTCTCTGTGGGTACTCTCTTTCAGTCTGGTTTTACTGGTTAAGTTTTTCTTGAGGTGAATGTTCTTCTGGAGTGATATTGGTCCAGCTATAGAACCGTGAAACTTAGCACATGGACTGGCCTTTTCGAGTCGATCAAATGTGTTGTATTGTTTGTATGAGTAATAAATGTGAACTAAATTTTGAAATTTTAAAACTAAATATATCACACTGCAATGCCCGTAATTCTGACGTAATTTATAATTTATAATTAGAAATGTGTATTTGGAAAAACTTATTGGTTCTTAACGTAGGATCTTGTTGCTGTTGTTCGCAAATGTATGAAATAAAGCAGTCGCTTAGGCTTCCTTTATATTTAATAGGAAACAAATAGCAGTCACAGAAAATAAACGTGCATAGATGTAAATATATCACTTCCAATCAAGGTTCAAAATGTCGATGTCGATGGAAATGTCGAAGTCTCGATTTTACGAATATGTCTAATCTTCGAAAGACTTTCCAGGAGCCTTGTTCAGCAGGTGCGCTGTAAGTATTCTTTCACAAGTTTGCCCTCTTAGCTACTTGTACTAACAGATGTGTATAAGAGACAGCTTAGCTACTTGTACTAACAAACTAGGGCGCTATACGGAAGTTCGTGCCTGCTTATCCCGGCTACAATAACTATCGAACAGCGATCCATCTGAAGAATGGCGCTTGTATATCCCTAGGATGGATATGTCGATGTTGAAATAAAAATTATTTTAATTAGTAAATAAAACTTTAATTGTAGGTTAATTAAGTTATAATTGATCACTTCTAATCATCCTAGGTAAAAATATGAGGAATTAATAAATTGAAGTTTAATGTGCTTTTATTGATAATTAATAATTTATAACAAGCAAGATATGAAAAATTAAAAAAAGAAATACAATTAGAATAAAAATAGATTAATATTGAAAATCGAAGTAAATTAATAATATTATTATTAATATAATTACAAACAACAGAGAGAGAGAAAGAAAGAAAAAGAAAGAAAGAAAAGGCAAGGCAAGGCAGCGTGATTCCCTTCTGTCCCAATCCGAGGGCTGGACAATTTAAATTTCTTTTTTTAATGATATCTTTTAAAATATGGTCGATATGTTGATATTTTTAATATATCGTCGATAAGGGGAAAAACGATTTTCCCTTATGTGTCGATGTCGGACCCTTCGATATGTCGACGTGTCGACCGACATTTAGAACATTGCTTCCAATACTCAATTAATAGTACAGGAAGGAGATCATTCTATCTTTTTTTTTTCCTATCACTTGGCCAGTAGCTGGAATAGTTCCTTAGTTCTATATGATATTGAGTAAAATCCAAAGATTATTATGACACTTTTAATGATGTATATGAACTAGAAATCAAATATTATGCAGAGTAAAACAAGTAATAAGAGCTACTATTTTTATTTTTTTATTTTTTATGATTATAGTAGAGTAGTTATTTATGATACTGAAGCACTTTATTTCATGCAATTAAAGGTTTTAAAAACACAACAAATATATCTATAAATAACTTTGTAGTTAAGACACTGAGTTTATGAATGGTAAATTAATTAAATTGAATATCAATGGTTCTAAAATAAGCCAAAAAGAAAAGAAAAAGTTGAGATTAGGGGAAGAGATATCAAAGACATTTTTAACTGGTTTGATTTCTTCAAACCCACCTTCTCATCCATTCCTTCAATTTGATAAGTTCTATGAAATTTTAAGAGATTTTCACATTAGAAGACCAAATAAAAATTAAAAAAGAAAAAAAGAAAATCAATTTATGAGATTAAGATTTGTACAGATTCTTAAAACTTTCCAACTTAAACTTGAATTCAGAAATTGGAAGTTTAAAACCAAAATTTTAAAATCATTTGAAAGTTTGAAAACATTTTAGCTTATATTAAACAATTAAAATAACGATAAGAATTCCTTTGCCAAAAAAAAAAAAGAAAAATAATAACGATAAGAATTATGAAATTAAAATTAAACAATATTAAAATTCAAAGATATTTATAATAAAATCCTTAAAGAAAATTGAAAAAAATAAAAGTTAAAAGTATAATATAGATATTTATTGTGATTAATGAGGTTTTATTGTTGGGTTCCGAATATAATATAAGAGTTGTTAATTACTTTTTGTGCGGAAATATAGGGACGAAGCGCATGCGATCTTCATGATTTGCATCTATGGCGTCACCGACGAAAACGGTTATAGAATTTTGGCGGGAAACGGATTTCCCAAATCATTCACTTTCTCTCCCCTTCCTACTTCCTATATATATGTATGTATATATATGAACTTGCCCTAATTTTGTGTTATTGTTCTCTTCGACTTCGATTGATCGTTATTATTTTACAATGTCGACCAGTGAACTCGCTTGCACCTACGCTGCGTTGATTCTTCACGACGACGCCATCTCCGTCACTGTATATTCTCCTTGATCTCTGTTTCTAATTATTTTGTATTGTTTCTCCGATTTGATTTCCAAGTACTCGATCTGTTTTTAATTTGTTCGATTTTAGGCGGAGAAGATTGCGACATTGGTTAAGGCTGCTGGCCTGACCGTGGAATCATACTGGCCCTCTCTGTTCGCTAAGTTGTCGTCAAAAAGGAACATCGACGATCTCATTCTCAACGTCGGATCTGCTGCTGCTTCTGCTCCTCTGTCCATGGCATCTTCCAGTTCCGCCGATGCCTCTGCCGCTCCCGCTCCTGCTCCTGCGCCCGTCGAGAAGAAGGTACCGAGTTTTAATTTCGTTTGGCAATTGCGATTGTTGATTTATAGATGATCAGTTCAAAATCAATTCTAAAACCGAGAATCGCGGCAATTAGGATTGTTGATTTATAGACGATCAGTTCAAAATCAATTCTAAAACCGAGATCTGAGGCATAGTCTTGATTTGATTGTTTGTGTTTGTATGTACAGGAAGAGGCAGTGGAAGAGAGCGAGGATGATTTGGTCTTCGGCTTGTTCGATTAGATATATAATATACACGTTAGTTTCTTAATTTTCAAGCTTGATTTAGATAATTGGGAGATTTTTGTTTTGTTCTTAAAATTCGATTACTGTGGACTTGGATTTTGTCGTCAATGGCGAGATGAATTCTTCTTCTTCTTCGATGGTATGTTTCTGAATGACATGGAAATTAGAATATATATTACTGTGTAATGTGAACTTTGAACTGAAATTCATGACTTCTTCCCCAACTAAGTTAGGTACGGAATAGCTTTTTCACCTCTTTTTGGTGATGCCTTGCTGATTTCATCTTGTTGTTTTTCCTTTACCGTTAGGTTATTGTTTACTTGTAATAATTGAATTTCTCAATTTAAAAATTATTTAAAAATTCAATGTTTTTTAGCATATATTTGTAAATTAGAAAGTTGTTACACACTAAATTTTAGTCTAATCTAAACTTATATTAATTAATTTATTAATATTTTTTTATAAATTTTGTATAATTATTATTTTACAAGATTATATAATTTAGAATACATTATATTTTACATGGTATAAAATGAATTTATAATATGAATAATATATTTTATCAAAGTTTAATTCTGCATTTTAAAAATTTTAAATTTTAAATCTGAAAACATTGAAAACATAAAAAATCGATTTTCAGAATTTCTACCGTTTGGATCACAGAATCCAAAAACATTTTTTAGAAACCGAATTTAAAGATTCTGAGTTTCCAACAAACGAACTTTGTTTCTTTAATTTGAATTTCATTTTTTTTTTATCTTTTTTTATCCCAACTTCTATCATAGCTTTAACCCAAATTTTATCTAGAGATAAATATCTTTTATAATGCCAAGTTAATAAATAGTTTTATTTGGTCTTGAAATTTTACAACCTTTGAAGTTTTTTAGTCTCTTAAATACACATGTGGGCTGGTAGATCGAACTCACAAGATTAAAGATATATGTTAGTTATTACTATAGCTCGTTTTGGCAGTAGTTTTTTAACTTATCATAGGCCATATTAAAATATAGCTAGGTATAGGTATCACGAAAATGATTATAAAAGAAAAGTTACTTCAATTATTTAAAGTCGTTTCCACGTCCTAAATATGTTATAGGTCTTATTATTAGTATATATATTCATAGGTGACTGATTCATCATGCTCTTTTATATTTTATTAATATTTATTTGAGATATCGATTAACTCTGCTCAAACTTTTTTTTTATTCAAGTCTTATATTTAATTTAATTAATTAATTTTGTGACATTTTGAGCTTATTGTTCATTGTCTTGAGCTAGCTTAAAAAATCATTGACGGTTAGAAAGAAATGATAACAATTCAAGAAGTTAAAATGTTTACTTAAATCTTCCATTTTTATTTTTCTGAGTGTTACTACCTTGCGTGCCCCTCAACTAATATATGAGATACATGAAGAAATTCTTAATAGGGAATAATATATTTTTTTGGATTTGTTTTCTAAATAATGATTTTTTAATAAACAATAATAGAAATAATGTAGTTTACAAAATATTTTCAAGAATATGATAATGAAATAGTAGTCACGACTTTGATTTCACATAAAGCGCATCTAAGAAGAAATTGCGGCCAATGAACGTAATTAAAGATAAAATCCGTCGTGACCCAAATCTATCAGAGGAGGTCGAATGAAGAACTTCCAAATCCAATTTGTCCTAGAAGAAGAAGACTCAAAACTAGAAAGAACAATGGGGAATTTGAGAATGAGAGAATAACCTACATTGCAATGGAACAAAACGAAAAAAAAAAACATATAAATGACGTTTTTTTGAGTGAAATCAAAAGTAAAGTTGTGAGGTTAATCCCTGAAGCACACAATATCATACCATTATGAGAATGTGGATCGAGAGCTCTCTTGGTATGAGATCTTTTGAAGAAATCAAATACAAATTGATTATGTCTAAAGTGGACAATGTATACAATTGTAAATCGAATAAAGGCAAAATTCCTTAAATACATTTTGTGTCTAGTACGTAATATACCACATACCATATGTAATTTAAAATATTTTTCTATTAAGACATCTATCAATAATGTAAATGAAGAAAACATGCACCTAACGTTGGTTTTAAAACAATAGCAAGGGCTAAAATGATTTTTTTCTAAATGTGAAATTCATAGACGAAAACAATATATTTAAAAATGTAAGGGTTAAATTAGCTAATAAAATTAAAAGTTGACGGATGAAACCTAATGAAATCTAAATATCGATTTCAATCATTGAAAACTTTGACTTTCGTAATTTTTTAATACCTAAACTGAAAAATTTTCAATTATGAATATAAACTTTGAGTTGTGATTTTATCTAATCCCTATTATTATCATTGTTAATTATTATCATTGTTAATTGAATTAATCATACTAAACTAATTAGTTTAATGGTAATTAATACAAATTCAAAGATGTGAGATTAGCGTTACATCTACTATGCTACCAACAATTATTTTGCGATTTATATTATTGTATAATATATAATATATAATATACAATAATATTTTTATTTATTTTTTTTTAAAAATCAACGTCCGGGTAGACAACCATGTCTTGATTTTAAAAAAAAAAAATCAGACGTGGCACCAAGAAAGTATCACGTCTGATGACGACCAAAGTACTGAAGATGGTATGGTCGTGTCTTAATGGCGGACTAATTACAAAATCATTACTTTTAGAATAAGTTTGAAAAAATACATTTTTTATTTGATTTTATTTAAATCAGCGTTATTTTAAAAATAAATTAAAAAACATTATTAAAAAAAAGCTCATTTCAAAGGGCACAAAAAAAATCAAAAAAATAAAATCAAAACCTACACATAGATTTATACTAAATTTAGGGAAAAAACTGAAATATAATTCTATAAGGAAAAAAGAAAAAAAGAAGGAAAAAAGAAGGAAAGAAAATCAAAACAATCAGGAAATGGAATATGATTTCAAAAGAACAAAAAAGTCAAATGGACACGTTAGTATTACGGGTAATATTATAAAAAAAATATATTTCTTCACTTTTATATATATATATATATATATATATATATATATATATATATATATATATAGATAATAGACAGCAAAGACTAAAGTGATTTTTAAATGCAAAATTCATGGACGAAAATAATATATATTTGAAAATCTAAGAATTAAATTAGCTAATAAAATTAAAAGTTCAAGTATAGAAACGTAATGAAATCTAAATTTCGATTAAATGACAAATTCAATAATTGAAAACTTTGACTATGTCTTTTTTTAGTACCTAAACTAACAAGTACAAACTTTGATTTGTACTGATTTTATCTAATCCCTATTATTATCATTGTTAAATTAATTATTGATAATAAACAGATTAGCTCAGCAGTAATTAATACATGTATATGACCAAGAAGCCATGAGTTCGAATCTCTCATCCCATTTATACTAAAAAAATAATAATGACAAGAATACATGTCTATTAGAAGTGACAAACAAACGATAAAAGAAAGTTAACCATTAAACCGGATAGAGTGACATAGTTATAAAATTAATTCTATATGTTATTTGAAAAAAGAGAATATGTTATGCCTATCATGTCAAATTATCAAACATTTGGATAATAGACATATTATATCATCATTTAATTAACAATAAATGTTACGAGTGAGGATAGATGTGTAGATGTGGAAGTCCTACGTGACTCCATGTGTCGGTAGTTGGGACCAAATCCGCTGAAGAGTGGCTGGCAAGGACATAGTGAGGTGACTCCACGACGCTTCATGAAACTTCATTGGGTAAATAAAACCACTAGTCAACTCATATAAAAAGTTCTCCATATTCTCCTCTCTTTAAATTTCTAACTTTAAGTGTCAGATGATATTTGACAAAGTACCTTATTGTAATCTCGTCCGACGACCATAATATGGTACGCATTAGCCAACCAAATTTTAACATCAAACAAGTAAAATGATATGGAATGAGAATTAAAAATGTAGAATAGAGTAAGACGGTGATCCTAAACTTTTAGAAACTAAATTTTTAATTTAAGTAAACAGTGGACAAAGGAGCCCCAATCCGAAGAAACTAATACCATATTCTGCACCAAATTGGAGCGTGAAGCAAATATTTGATCGGAAGGAAGTCTTTTCCATCCACCTCTGCACAAAATAGAAAAATGAAATAAAAGAAAAAAAGAAAAAAAAAGAAAAAAGAAAAAAGTCTTCTCCGTTCCCCACCACACCCCCATGCCACACCCACAGCCACTAGTTTCTCTAAAAAGATCCAACACTGTTTCCTCGATTCAAATAAAATAAAGAAATATCAGGACTCCACGTTTCGATATGTGAGGCGTCTAATTCTCCGCCAATCACGTCCCGCCACGTCAACTCCTAGGCTAAATATCTTCCAAGTGGGCCCGGCTTCTTCATATCCTCCCACGTGGGGGCCCACTCAAAAGTATCCCGATTTCTTTATCCAATTTCCACTTTGTCCAACTCCAAAGCCCTAAAAAATAATTTTAATTTAAAAAAAAAAGGAGGAATTAATCCGCTCCACCGCCTACGCCAAACAAACCATCGCCACAAAAACATAACCAATCGGACTTTTGTCTCTTTCCTTTCCTATCCAACAATCTCCTCCGACTAAGCTGCTGACGTGTCATTAGTGGACTATCTTTCAGATATTTTGCTGCAACCTTGCTTTCTTCTCAGCCCTCCGATCCGCGGCGGTTAAATCCCCATTCCTCGTACACGCCGTTCGATCTCCACTCAATTTGCAGCTGATATTTTTTTAGATATTTTTTTGGGTTTGCAGAGCAGATGAAGCAAAAGGGCCACCGTCTTGTCTTCCCTTCTTTCCCTCTCAATTCGCAGCTCTCAACTCTCAACCCTTTCCCCTCCTGCAGGCTGCTGCTCCGACGCCGCCGTTCACCGCCGTGCGACTCCGATATGGGCGAAGCCGTCGTCAGTTGTGAGGATGTGAATGTGGATATCAGCCCCGGCATCGACGATATGGTGGCGGAAGCTCAAAGTGCGGATTCCCACAAACCAGACAAAGAAGGGGCTGGGATTAAGTGGGAGCGGTTCTTGCCCAAGATGATGCTCAGGGTCCTGCTCGTTGAAGCCGACGATTCCACCAGGCAGATTATTACTGCCCTTCTCCGCAAGTGCTGCTACAGAGGTTGAATTCCCCCTATTTCCTTTTTATTTTTTTAATTTTTCATTTCTCGCCTTCTACTGTTGAATTCCCTTTATTATTTCTGCGTTCCCCGCCTTAATTCCTAACTACCTACACATCCCCAATCCGCTGTGTGGACTGGAGTATGCAAATGAGTGCTATTCTATTCTCACTATCCAAGCAGCTTCAAAATTGATGGATGAAATTGACCCATTTAACTTTGAGCCCAGTTCTTTTCTAGGTTTCCTGTTTTTACAACTTTTTAATCATCTTCGGTTACTGCTGTTAGATTAGACCAACCAACTTGTTTGTGCCCCTTTTTTTTTGTTTCTTTTTTGAGATTTCAAGACTGTCTATTAATTTGCAGGTTATATGTTTCTTTGGTTTTTGAGATAGGAAGAGAGAGCTTTTCATTTATCTACACATGAAATGTTTGTGGAAAATTGTACCTTTTCTATTTCAAGATTAATTATTGGTTATATACTTTGCTTCTTATTCATGCTGCATTCTGACTGAAATGGCTACTTATTCAACTGCAATTACCTGATGCTATTTCATTAAAGAAAACTAAAACAAAAAATTGTAGAGATTTTTGCTTCAGACG